TTCGCACTGATTTTTTAAAAAAATCATTTGTGGGATATGGGTTTTGCTGGCTGGACCATCATTTATTGCCTGTCCCTAGTTGCCCTTGAGAAGGTAATTGTGAGCTGCCTTCCTGAACTGCTGCAGTCCACCTGGTCTGATGTGTTGGTTTTTATCCATCATTGAGGATGGTGATATTCTTGCATTCCCCCATATCCTGTTAGTTGTTTGATTGACCTCTACCGTTCACGACTGGAGTGCCAGGTCTGCTGCGCTTGTTTAGTTCTCAGAGTGATGTGATGCAGTAAGTGCAGGGTAGACCATCTCCAAAAGAGTTTCTCCAGCACATGAGCCCTCTCAGAACCCCACTCTGATTATATACACTCTCCCTCAGTATTGCTTCCCTTGACAATGCAGTGTGCCCACAGTGCTGGTCCAACCCTCAACCCCTGACCATGCAGTAGCCCCTCGTTATTACTCCTGTTGACAGTGAAGTACTCCCTCAATACTGTGTTTGGTGTCGGAGGGTCATAGAGTTGTACAGCATGAAAACAGAATCTTTGGTCCGACTTGTCCATGCTGACCAGATATCCTAAATTAATCTAGTCCCATTTGGCGCATATCCCTCTAAACCCTTCCTATTCATGTACCCATCCAGATGCCTTTTAAATGTTGTAATTGTACCAGCCTCCACCGCCCCCTCTGGTAGCTCATTCTATACATACACCACCCTCTGTGTGAAAAAGTTGCCCCTTAGGTCCCTTTTAAATCTTTCCCCTCTCACCTTAACCCTATGCCATCTGGTTTTGGACTCCCTTACCCCAGGGGAAAAGACCTTTGCTATTCATCCTATCCATGCCCCTCATGATTTTATAAACCTCTGTAAGGTCACCCCTCAGCCTCCAATGCTGCAGGGAAAATAGCACTGACCTATTCAGCCTCTCCCTAAAGCTCAAGCCCTCAAACCCTGGCAACATCCTTGTAAATCATTTCTGAACCCATTCAAGTTTCACAACATCCTTCCTGTAGCAGAGAGACCAGAATTGAGTGCACTATTCCAAAACTGGCATAACCAATATCCTGTACAGCTGCAACATGACCTCCCAACTCCTATACTCAATGCACTGACCAATAAAGCTAAGCGTACTGAACACCTTTTTCGCCATCCTGTCGACCTACGACTCCACTTTCAAGGAACTATGAACCTGCACTGCAAGGTCTCTTTGTTCAGCAACACTCCCCAGGACATTACCATTAAGTGTCTAAGCCCTGCCCTGATTTGCGTTTCTGAAATGCAACACCTCAGATTCATCTGAATTAGACGCCATCTGCCACTCCTTGGCCCATTGGCCCATCTGAACAAGGTCCAGTTGTACTCTGAGGTAACCTTCTTCACTGTCCACTACACATCCAGTTTTGGTGACATCTGCAAACTTACTAACCATACCTTCTATGTTCACATCCAAATAATTTATATAAATGACGAAAAGCAGTGGACCTAGCACCGACCCTTTTGGCACACCATTGGTCATTGGTCTCCAGTCTGAAAAGCAACCCTCCACCACCACCCTCTATCTTCTACCTTCAAGCCAGTTCTGTATCCAAATGGCTAGTTATCCCTGTATTCCATGCGATCTAACCTTGCTAACCAGTCTACCATGGGGAACCTTGTCGAACACCTTGCTGAAATCCATATAGATCGTGTTCACTGCTCTGCTCTCATCAATCCTCTGTTACTTTTTCAAAAACCTCAATCAAGTTAGTGAGGCACGATTTCCCACACACAAAGCCACGTTGACTATCCCTAATCAGTCTTTGCTGAACCAAATATGTAAATCCTGTCCCTCAAGATCCCCTCCAACAACTTGCCCACCACCAATGTCAGGCTCAGTGGACTATAGTCCCCTAGCTTTTCCTTACCACCTTAAATTTTGGCACCATGTTAGCCAACCTCCAGTCTTCTGGCACATCTCACGTAGCTGTTGATGATACAAATATCTCAACAAGGGGCCTTGCAAACATTTCCATAGCTTCCCACAGTGTTCGAGGGTACACCTGATCAGGTACTGGGGATTTATCCACCTTTATGCATTTTAAGATGTCCAGCACCACCACCTCTGTAAAATGGACATTTTTCAACATGTCGCTATTTATTTTCCCACATTCTGTATCTTCTGTCAACCTAGATCTTGTGTTCAAACCTCTCAACTGGGGCTTGAAAATCTCCAACCTCTGACTCAGAGGTATAATTCTCACTGAGCCAGATTTGACTCACCTTGTGCTGTAAGAGTCTGGCTATGTAAAGTTGCAATCAAAAGCAGACTGAGTTAGTTTTAATGACTGGAGTTTCTGGTGTAATTTTAGCAGAATGCAAATCCCAGGCCCATTTTAAACATGATTGCATGTTTAGTTGGAGCCGTTATCGTGGGATGATGTATGCATCAAAACAACTAGCAGCAGTCCCTGGAACATGCCAGCTCTTAAAATAACCTCTGGCTGAAGTAATCATCACTAATGGGTTACCGAGTAAACACACAACCACAGCAGTCACTTGTATGCCGGACAGGCTGCTTTTCTAGCAAATCTCCAAAGGAGTTAGAAACACCCACATTTTGAACTTGTATGTCGTGATCCAGACATGCAGGAGCTTATCTGTGTGTTAGTAACCTTTACTGAGTGATTAAATTTTACTGAGTGAGAATTTCTTGAAGGGTGTGGTTGGGTAACTGGCTGTCCCTTTGGATCAGGTCAGGCTCATGTTCATGACACTGTTTCTAAAACTGCCAAGTGTATCTGAATTTCTAATTACCATGTGTGACTACCTCCTGTTGATTTGCTTTCATGTTCATGTCGATGTTAATCATAAAACTCAGTAGCAATACAAATTTACCATGCTGCAGTTGTTAGTATGTAAAATGACTAATTGATGTGAAGTGGTGGCAGTCAGTCTAGTTGTTTAGTTTACAGATGATGGGGAGTTTGAGAATCTCTAAAGGCCTTGAATTTGTGAGCAATAATCTTTGCTTTTGTGATATTGACAAATTGCAGATAGTAAACATTGGGATCTGTAATTGCACTTCCTGCTTCAGTGGACACACATTTTTGATATTATCGATCCCATGTTATTTTATTTCCCCTTCTTCATTGGTGCCCATGTCCATGATTTCTGAGTAGGGATCTCCGGGGGCTGTGACCCTCCATGACCACCGTCCCTTCCCCCACTCACTGAATGCCAGCTCTCATTGAGCTTTTCACCATTCACTAGATGGCAGAGGAACATCAGAACAATAGTGGCTGTTTGAGGGAATTCAGTGAAATCAGTGTTGACTGGTCAACCTGACAGCCTGTTGCAGAGGTCCCAAGACTGATTACATTTCACCCAAACCCATGTTCATACACTCCATCCAACGATTGTCTCAGGATGGTGATCAGATCCGGAATGCTGACAGATCCTCCCAATGCCACAGGGACACTTGGGAACATTATGAAGTTTCAGTTTCAACCACGATTCAGATTAGCTGACAGCCATGTTTCAGTTACTGCTGCATCTATCACCAATACAGAGTATCAAATTATCTTCAGTTAACGTAGTGCACGTTCCCTTTATGTTGACAGGTTTCAGGCTAGATTCTTGTCTTTGTGTTAAGTAGGACCAATTGTAGATAACTAAGGTAAAGGTAAGGTTTCCAAAGTATCAGAGGACTATAGGACTACTATCATTATTGAGAGATGTGTGGGTCCCGTGCCTCAGGAGAGGAGAGGTTGAAAAGGCAGGACTGTCGTGGTGACTTCAGTCAGTGTGAAAATTGAACCCGTGCTGTTGGCATTACTCTGCATTACAATCCAGGCAAGTGAGCTAACCGAAAGGTTGTAATTAAAGTTAACGTGTTGTGTTAGACATGATCAAATTTTTCTAGAAAATGTGTGTCGTTAGACTTATTTCTGATATTGAGCCATTCTTGCTTTTCTTATCCCTTGAATATGAGCATCACTGGCAAAACCAGTTCTCCTTGAGACAGTGCCATGAGCCCCCTTGCTGAACTACTGCAGTCCATAAGGTATAGATACATCCTGTAGTGCTGTTAAGGAGGGAGCTCCAGCACTGTGACCCCAAGGACAGCGAATGGGGCTATATTGCACAAGCAGGGTCGAGCTAGTCAAGTTCCCATGTGCCTGCCTCCTTTCTCTATCTATGCAGTAGATTTTGGAAAGAAGTAACCACACTCTTCATGAAGGAAGACAAAATGATGGATGTCTGCCAGAGGAAGAGAGATGAAAAGGAGAGCTATAAGATCATGAGAACGTTTCAGATAAGTAGTCTCTGAATGCTGAAAGCACATGTTTGGCAACCCCAAGGGATCAAAGCAGGAATGATATGGCCAATTAGCAAGAAACTTCTGATCAGTACGGTGTAGAACAGGAACACTTAGCTGGATTTACCAATTCTGGTCATTTCCTGTAAGGATGCTTGAACAGTGACCTGAAACTGCTCCTGGTTGAATATTTAGAACGAGAGGATAGTGGTTGACATGAGTTAAGGTGGGAAGAGGCTTATGTGAAGCATAAATAGTGACACAGACCACTGGGATTGAATGGTCTTGTTTCTCGAAGTTCTGTTTAACTGCAATGACAGCTGGATTCGGGATCCAGATCATCTGTGTCATGAAAATGGCCAGTAATTCTGCTCATTATTTTTATTGTTTGGAGAATAACAGAATGCCCTAAATTGATACAATTGTTGGTCAAGTTCTGATGTAGCAAAACTTTCCCTTCTCAACTTCCTCCAGAACACACACTGTCAATAATTTTAATGATCACACTACATTTTTCCTGAAATGTAATGGAGCAACAAATGAATAGTCAAATCTCCTGTGCGCACACCATAGTGTGTGTGTGTGTGTGTGTGTGTGTGTGTGTGTGTGTGTGTGTGTGAGAGAGAGAGAGAGAGAGAGAGAGAGAAAGTGGCGGGGTGAGGGGAAGCAGAGTCCAATGACCTTTCTAACACTACTGTCTTTGATCAGGAGCTTGTGCTGGTCGAGGATGTGTGGAGAGGGGAGGCTCAGGATTTACTCACTCAGATTGCAAAACTTCAGGAGGAAAACAAACAGCTGACAATGAATCTTTCCCACAAAGATGTAAGCCTGACTGAGGAAGAAATCCTGAAACAGGAAGGTAAAAACAAACAAGAAGTTTTATAAATTCAACATTCAGTGAGAGTAATTTTGCTTGACATGATTGTTTCCCTTGCCCTGCATGGAGTAATTACCAAGGAATACCCAGGACTAAAAGAGCAAAATGATGTTATGTGAATATAGTTAAATGTTAGCTGTTGAAATGATATACTGTAATAGAGCAACCAAATTTAAGGTGATTAGAAAAAAAAAGCAAAATGCAGAACGTTTTATGTTAGCAGTTAAGAGTTGGAATGTGCTGCCTCATAGATTCAATAGCAGCCTTCAAAAGGGAAATTTGATAAAACTTAAAGGAGTAAAAGAATTGAGAGATTTGGAGAAAGAGCAAAGACTGAGTGGATTGCTCTTTGAAAGAGCCAGTGCACACTTAATGGGCCAAATGGTCTCTTATGTATTCACTGATTCTAATTAAGAGAATTGGATATTGAAGGGTGGAAACCAAAATGTATTCACAGGCTGACAAGACAATGGGAGCAGTGGATTCAGTAAATGATGTATTTTATTTCCCCTGTTCAGGTGCCCTGCACAGCTTCACTGGCTTGCACTGTATGAGAGAGTGGTGTTGTGTTTATTTTACGAGATTAATAATCCAGAGAACACAAGATCAAATTCACCATTGCAGTTAAAGAATTTGAACCCTCATCTCTATCTAAAGAGTTGCTTGTGTCCTGTTCCTTCTTGTCTAAAACTTCATTTTCCGAGGCTGCATTGACCAGTTGTCTCTTCGCCTGTATCTCACATGTTTCATCTGCCCAAGTTGGATCAGTCTGGAGGAGGGGTGGCCAGAGGTGCATGTGCTTCCGACCAGCACTGAGTCCCACATAAACAGCAAGCCCACGATACATACAAGTTGCCCCAGTTCCTGGCTACTGGACAGTTTTCTCAACTCAGATTGGAAAACAGAAAGACAATAATTCAACATTGATATCAACTCACTATGTTGACCCTTCTCTGTTTTGTCTCACTGCTTATCTCTTTTCTGTCTCTCGTCCCAACTCCGCAAAACTGTGATCCATTCTAGGATGAAACACAACCTCCTCCAATTTAACAACTGGAAAATCCAAGGCCATTGTTTTCGGTCACCATGACAATCTCTGTTTCCTTGTATTGCCTAATTCTGCCTCTCTGTCAGCTGACTGCTGTTGAAATCTCTTATCTCTGGTTTTGTTACCTCCAGACTCAACTATTCCAGAGCTCTCCTCACTGGCCTCCCACCTTTAATGAAATTCAGCTCATCCAGCACTCTGCTGTCCATGTCAGAACTTGCACCAAGTCTCTGTTCACTGTCTGACTTGGGCTCCTGATTAAGTAAAAATTTAATTTTTAAAATTCTCATCCTTGTCTTTAAATCATTGATGGTCTCACCTCTCCCTATCTCTGTAGCCTCTTCCAAGCTCTCAGCGTTTCTCCAGCTGTGGCCTCTTGTGCACCCTCCACTCCCTTCATTTCACCATTGGCAGCTTTACCTCCATTTGTAAACTCTGGCATTCCCTCTCTGCCACTCCATCTTTCCCTCCACCTTTAAGACAGTCCTTAAAACTTGGCTCTTTGCCTAAGATTTTAGATATCTACACAATTATCTTTCTTATGATAGCCATGGTTTCGTTGGCCACACTCTTATATCTGAATCGGAAGTCACACTGTCAAGTAATGGTACTGAGGGAGGCTCCTGGCTGGCCCCTTGGCTGGATGTAAAAGATGTGATCAGGTTAGCCTATACTCTAGTGACTCAGCTTGACTCTTCGGTTTTTCTAATAATGTTTGCACTTGCACAGAGTACTTTATCTTAGTATGCCTCAAACAATGAGTGCCATGACTTTTTGAAGTGCATTGCTACTCCAGGCTGTATTTTCAGAATACTGAGATGTGATGTGAGGACTGAAATAGAAACAGAATTCAAAAGCTGTCATCCAACCATGTGAGTGACCCTCTGACATTAAATTTGTAAAGTTATTTTTGTTCCCTGGGTGCTTGAAGCTGGGACACAATCTTATGAACCTCTTCTGCACTCTCTCACTCTAACAGGTATTAGACACACCCAGAGGTGAATCAGAACTTGCTGAGGGCATAAGCATGATAAAAATCTGACAAGTCAGTCACATAAAAATGTAATGCCCACACTTTAACGGATAAATTAATTTCTGAGTTTCTGGTTAGCCCTTGACGACAAATATTTATTCTCCAACATTTAGAAAGACATTAAAATACCAAAGGTCCAGTCATTTTTTAAGTAATGTGTATTTTTACCACCAGCAGAACATCCAATAATAATAATTAGGGCAAGTAACTTTGAACATTGTGCGTGTGAGAGGTCTGATCTGGATTCTAGCCCAACTGATGGTTACAGATCTCCACAGTGACAAAGAAACTTTAACTGTTTAGTGGATGGGATGCTGATTTTTGCACTCCCCTTCCCCTGCTTTGAATAAATAATAAATTTGATAAAACCAGCATTTCTGTCAATCTTAGACAACAAGGTGCAGGGCTGGATGAACACAGCAGGCTAAGCAGCATCACAGGAGCAGAAAGGCTGATGTTTCAGGCCTAGACCCTTCATCAGAAATGGGGAGGGGAAGGGGGTTCTGAAATAAATAGGGAGAGAGTGGGAGGCGGATAGAAGATAGATAGAGGAGAGGATAGGTGAAGAGGAAACAAACAGGTCGAAGAGGCGGGGATGGAGCCAGTAAAGGTGAGTGTAGGTGGGGAGTTAGGGAGGGGATAGGTCAGTCCAGGGAGGACGGACAGGTCAAGGGGGCGGGATGAGGTTAGTAGGTAGGAGATGGGGGTGCAGCTTGAGGTGGGAGGAAGGGATAGGTGGGAGGAAGAACAGGTTAGGGAGGCGGGGATGAGCTAGACTGGTTTTGGGATGCGGTAGGGGGAGGGGAGATTTTGAAGCTTGTGAAATCCACATTGATACCATTGGGCTGCAGGGTTCCCAAGCGGAATATGAGTTGCTGTTCCTGCAACCTTCGGGTGGCATCGTTGTGGCACTGCAGGAGGCCCAGGATGGACATGTCGTCTGAGGAATGGGAGGGGCAGTTGAAATGGTTCGCGACTGGGAGGTGAAGTTGTTTATTGCGAACCGAGCGTAGGTGTTCTGCAAAGTGGTCCCCGAGCCTCCGCTTGGTTTCCCCGATGTAGAGGAGGCCACACCGGGTACAGCGGATGCAGTATACCACATTGGCAGATGTGCAGGTGAACATTTGCTTGATGTGGAAAGTCTTCTTGGGGCCTGGGATGGGGGTGAGGGAGGACATCTTTCCCTCCCCACCCTTATCTGCTTTCCTGAGGGACCACTCTCTCCTGTGACTCCCTTGTCCGCTCCACACTCCCCTCCAGCCCCACCACACCCGGCACTTTTCCCTGCAACCGCAGGAAGTGCTACACCTGCCCCCATACCTCCTCCCTCACCCCCATCCCAGGCCCCAAGAAGACTTTCCACATCAAGCAGATGTTCACCTGCACATCTGCCAATGTGGTATACTGCATCTGCTGTACCCGTTGTGGTCTCCTCTACATCGGGGAAACCAAGCGGAGGCTCAGGGACCGCTTTGCAGAACACCTACACTCGGTTCGCAATAAACAACTGCACCTCCCAGTCGCGAACCATTTCAACTCCCCCTCCCATTCCTCAGACAACATGTCCATCCTGGGCCTCCTGCAGTGCCACAACGATGCCACCCGAAGGTTGCAGGAACAGCAACTCATATTCCGCTTGGGAACCCTGCAGCCCAATGGTATCAATGTGGATTTCACAAGCTTCAAAATCTCCCCTCCCCCTACCGCATCCCAAAACCAGTCCAGCTTGTCCCTGCCTCCCTAACCTGTTCTTCCTCCCACCTCAAACCGCACCCCCATCTCCTACGTACTAACCTCATCCCGCCCCCTTGACCTGTCCATCCTCCCTAGACTGACCTATCCCCTCCCTAACTCCCCACCTACACTCACCTTTACTGGCTCCATCCCCGCCTCTTCGACCTGTTTGTTTCCTCTCCACCTATCCTCTCCTCTATCCATCTTCTGTCCGCCTCCCACTCTCTCCCTATTTATTTCAAAACCCCCTTCCCCTCCCCCATTTCTGATGAAGGGTCTCGGCCTGAAAAGTCAGCCTTTCTGCTCCTATGATGCTGCTTGGCCTGCTGTGTTCATCCAGCCCTGCACCTTGTTGTCTCGGATTCTCCAGCATCTGCAGTTCCTACTATTTCTGTCAACCTTCTCAGTTTTCTTATGGAGCAGGTCAGATTAAAGTTATTCCACTAAGGGTTCTCAGTGAGATGGGACTGAGGAATAGGCTCAGCTCCACATTCAGCGCTTCCCAGTTCCTGGCACAAATTAGTGATGACTATCAGTACTCGGCAGGCTATTGGCTATACCAAATGTCTCACTGGATATTTTATTAATTGTATCCACAATCAAAAGCATACTATGGTCCTGACTTGTATTCAAATGTCTTGTTGCAGAGAGGAGTCAATGTTGGACTGTTTCTAGCAGGAATGTGCAGTATGATCTGGGTCATGGCTTCATCTGCTGCCTTACTGGCTGAGAAATTCACATCCAGACTATTTTTTGGGTTTGCCATGTGCCATCATTCCAATACTCTGCTGGTAGTACGACCAGATGGAACTGTAGCTATCAATTGATCTTTACAAATCATGACCAGTATTTATTTCCTGCCTCATACTTAAAGATTTACAATCAAATATCTGTTTCAACCTTCCAAATATGTCTGGTTTAAAAGAATAGTTCTTCAGGGGCCAAAGCCAGAATACCTGCAATCCTATCATTATTTACTGTATGAAACTCGGTCGTTATTTCAGAGTTGTTTTCTGCAGGTTTAAAGGATCTTGAGAGTACGTTTTAGCTCAAGTGTACATTGTTTATGTGACATCTTCCTGTCTTTGGCCCAGTATACCACAACGAATTCAACAGATTGATTTGTTTACATAATGCTTGTAATTCAAATATTTAAGCTATAGGGAGAGGCTGAATAGTCTGGGGCTATTTTCCCTGGAGCATCGGAGGCTGAAGGGTGGCCTTATAGAAGTCTATAAAATCATGAGGGCCATAGATAGGCTGAATAATCAAGGTCTTTTCCCCAGGGTAGGGGAGACCTGAGGAGCATTTTTTCACGCAGAGGGTGGTGCAGGTATGGAATGAACTGCCAGGGGAAGTGGTGGAGGCTGGTACAGTTACAACATTTGAAAGGCATCTGGATGGGTGTATGAATGGGAAGGGTTGAGAGGGAAGTGAGCCAAATAATGACAAATGGGACTAGCTTAATTCAGGATATCTGTTCAGCATGGACAAGCTGGATTGAAGGGTCTGTTTCCATGCTGTACATCTCTGACTTTATCTGACAGCTTAATATGATCACATTTCATCATGTCCATGTGACCCAACAGGTATCAGTCTAGACTGAGGCACAGGATCTTTGAAATGGTCTAGCAAGGTACGTGTTTTGAATTGTGAACATGGGATTGTCAGTAAATGTCAGTGATGCTCACTTCCTCAAAATGGTTTAAAATCCTTTACAGGATAGTTGGAAAAGAATTACCTAATTGGTAACTCACCAACAGTCATGTTTCCCTTACTTGTCTTTTAGCTGGGATGTCAGAAAGAGAATGGCAAGTGATGAAGAAGTTAAAGGAAGTGGTTGATAAACAGCGGGATGAGCTCAGAGCCAAAGACCGAGAATTAACTCTGAAAAACGAAGATGTTGAAGCAGTAAGTATTTACCATTTCAGCCTGGACTGAAATTAATAGCACCTCCAATGCCGGTCATGTCTCTGTTAATTGTACACGCAAGGAAGAGTCATATTGGACACACAAACTCTGTTTTTCGCTCCACTGATGCTGCCAGGCCTACTGAGTTTCTGCAGCACTTTCTATCTTTATTTCTGAATAGCAGGTTCTCTGCTAGGGACCTGGTGCTGGAAGTCTCGAAATGTGGGCATCCCATGCTACATTCCCTCAAAGCTGCACAGCTGCTCAGAGGGTCAACAAAGCTTGATTACCATATCAATGAGTTGACTTTTGATTTTGGAAGTTGCAGACGCAGAGGGACCTGAGGTCTGTGCAAAAGAAGAATTTCAAGGGAGTAACAACCCTATGTGCTGTGCTACTGGACCTTGATCAAGTCCCACATTCACTTGAGTTCAGTTTATTTGTTGGGGAAAGAGAGAAGGGTGTTATTTCTGATATTATTACGTAGGAGCAGGAGTAGGCATCCACCTTTTCAGGTTTGCTCCGTCATTTGTTAAGATAGTGCTGATTTTTTTTTGCACCAACTGCAATACTCCCATCTATCCTGATAACCTTAGAAACCAAGTCTCTCTGGCAGTCTTGAATGTCCCGAACAAATGAGCATATCAGTTCCTTGGATAGAAAATTCCAAGGATTCACAATCTTCTGAGTGAAGAAATTTCTCCTTCACTCCATCATAAATGGCCAGCCCCTTATCCTGTTACTAGAATCCTGTTTTCTAAACTTAAGCCAGGAGCAATCAGCAATTACCATATCAAACCTGCTAAGAGTTTTAAATGTTTCAATGAGATCAGCTCTCATTCTTCTGAACTCCAGAGGATACCCACCCATTCTACTCAATGAAAGGAGATATAAAAGGAAATATTGTGGCTATTGGAAATCTGAAACAAAACTAAAAGTACTGAATAAAAACAAAGTTGTTGGAAAAGCTCAACAGGTGTGGCAATATCTGTGAAAGAAAAAAAGAGTTAATGTTTCAGGTCCTCGGAAGTTCTGAGGAAGGGTCACTGGACCCGAAACGTTAACACTTTTTTTTCCTTCACAGATGCTGCCAGACCTGCTGAGCTTTTCCAGCAACTTTGTTTTTGTTCCTGATTTACAGCATCCGCAGTTCTTTTCATTTTTAAAAATACTGAAAATATGCAGCAGCTCTTGCAGCACATTTTTTGTTCATAATGGAAGTGGCCATCTCTGACTGAGCCAGCATTTGTTGCCTATCCCTAAGTGTACTTGAGAAGGTGTTGGTGGGCTATCTTCTTGAACCTCCAGAGTCCTTGAGGTGTAGCTACATCCACGGCTGTCTGGGAGGGAGTTTCAGGATTTTGACCCATTGACACTGAAGGAATGGCTAAGTCAGGATGGTGCGTGGCTTGGAGGAGAACTTTCAGGTGGTGGTGTTCCCATTCTAGACGGTGTCTTTCGAAATGGCAGAGATTGCAGGTTTGGAAGGTGATGTTGAAGAAGCTTTGCTGTATTAGTATAGTGCATTTGTATTTGGTACACACTGCAACCATTGTGTTGATGGTGGGGTGAGCGAGTGTTGAAGGTAGTGGATATTGTGTCAATCAGTTGGGCCGCTTTGACCTGGATGGTATTAAACTTTTTAACTGTTGTTGGAGCTGCACCCATCTAAATACTGGAGACCATTGCATCACACTTAGAGATTCCTAGCCTGTGACCTGTGGAGCTGTGGGAATTGAAATAGTTAGTATTTTGGGTTTGATGATTTTTACATGGAAACATAGAAAATAGCAGGAGTAAGCCATTTGACCCCTCAGGCCTGCTCCACCATTCAATACAATCATGGCTGATCATTAAGCTCAATATTCCTAATCCACCCCTCCCCCCCCGTATTTTTTTACGTCTATATTCATTCACGGGATGAGGGTGTTACTAGCCAGGCAGCATTTATTTGCCCATCCCTAATTGCCCAGAGGGCAGTTGAGAGTCAACCACATTGCTGTGGGTCTGGAGTCATATGTAGGCCAGACCAGGTAAGGATGGCAGTTTCCTTCCCTAAAGGACATTAGTGAACCAGATGGGTTTTTCCAACATTCAGCAATGAATTCATGGTCATCATTAGATTCTTAATTCCAGATATTTTATTGAATTCAGATTGTGGCGGGATTTGAACCTGGGTTCCCAGAGCACTATCTGGGTCTCTGGATTAATAGTCCAGCGATAATACCACTAGGCCATCGTCTCCCCACATATCCCTTGATCCTTTTAGCCACAGGAGCAATATTTATTTCCTTCTTGAAAACACATAACGTTTTGGCCTCAACCACTTTCTGTGATCGTGAATTCCACAGGCTCACGACTCTCTGGGTGACGATATTTCTGCTCCTCTCAGTCCTAAAAGGTTAACATTTTCTCCTTAAACTATGAACCTTGATTCTGGATTCCCCCACCAACAGGAACGTCCTTCCTGCATCAACCCTGTCTAGTCCTGTTAGAATTTTATAGGTTTCTATGAGATCCCTCCTCATTCTTCTGAACTCCAGTGACTACAATCCGAACTGACTCAATCTCTCCTCCTACATCAGTCCTGCCATCCCAGGAATCAATTCAGCAAACTTTTGCTGCACTCCCTCCATAGCAGGAACATTGTTCCTCAGACCAAAACTGCACACCATATCCCAAGTGTGGCCTTACCAATGCCCTGTCTAATTGCAGCAAGACATCCATGTTGCTGTACCCAAATCGTCTCGCTATGAAGGTCAAGATACAGTTTGCCTTCTTTACTGCCTGCTGCACCCATACACCTACTTTCAGCAGCTGGTGCACAAAGAAACCCCAGGTCTTTTTGAACATACCCTCTCTCAATTTATAGCTATTCACCTAATAGTCTGCCTTCCTACTTTTTGCTACCGAAGTGGATAACCTCTCAATTATCCACGTTATACTGTATCTGCGATGTATTTGCTTGCTCACTCAGCCTGTCCCAATTACATTGCAACATCTCTCCATCCTCCTCGCAGCTCAGCCTGCCATCCAGCTTTATGTTATCTGGAAATTTAGAAATATTACATTTAGTTCACTCATCTAAATCATTAACCTATATTGTAAATAGCTGGGATCCCTGAAGTACTCCATTAGTCACTGTCTGCCATTCAGAAAAAGACCCATTTATTCCTCCTGTTTGTTTCCTGTCTGCTAACCAATTTTCAGTGCATCTCAATACACTAGCCCCAATCCCATGCGCTTTAATTTTACACATTAATCTCTTACATGCAACTTTGTTGAAAGTCTCAAAGTCCAAATAAACCACATCCACTGGCTCCCCCTCATTAACTCAACAAATTATCTCCTTGAAAAATTCCAGTAGTCATAGAGTTGTACAACACAGAAACAGACCCTTCAGTCTAACTCGTTCATGCTGACCAGATATCGTAAATCAATCCAGTCTCATTTGCCAGCATTTGGCCCATATCTCTCTGATTCTTCTTTTGTAAATCCATGATGTCTGATCCTACCATTGTTATCTAAGTATTCTGCTATAAAATCCTTGACAATTGACTCTAGCATCTTCCCCACTACCAACGTCAGATGCACTGGTCTATAATTCCCTATTTTCTCTCTACCTCCTTTTTAAAATAGTGCAGTTACATTAGCTAGCCTCCAATCTGTGGGAACTGTTCCAGATCTAAAGAAACTTGGATTTTTACATTCATTTTTTTGAAAGGTCTTTGACATGATTTTTCCTGCACAGATGCTGTTTAATCTGATACGTATTTCCAGAATTTTCTGCTTCTGTACAAGGGAAATCAGAATATGCAGGAGTCCTGAGAACATTCTGATAATTATTCGGTGAAATTTTCTGTTTAACATTGTGCGTGAAACTGAGTGTGTCATCTGATGTGATTCTGAGTCTTAGTTGTGACTCTATGGATAGCGCCCTTACCTCCGGGTCGCAAGGTTTTTGTTTCAAGGCCTGATCCGCGGATCGGGGCCCACAGTCTAGTTTAGCATTCCCAATGGATTCTTTGAGAGTACTCACTCTCAGGGGTCCTGCCTTCTGGCAGAGAAATTCAGCTGGTTCAAATCTGCATTGGTTCTTAGCTTGCATTGGAACAGATAATGTGCTCAAGTCTTAACTGGTGACACTTTGTCACATATATATATGTATAATGAAGGAACAGTAAAGAGTTTGTACTGAATATGTTGCAGTCTTCAGGATGGGGATTGCGATGTGCCGCTGCCTTTAGGACAAGGGTGGGGACATGTCGCTGTCTTCTGTGTGCAAGTGTGACCTGTCACTGACCCTTTCACTGAGTGATGCCCTTGTCATTCTGTCCCTTTCAGTTACAGCTGCAGCAGAACAGGCTGATGAAGATAAACCATGAGCTGCGACACAAGGTGACAGTGATTGATGCACAGGGGAAAGGGCTGATTGAGCAGAAGGTGGAGCTTGAAACCACATTGCAGACCAAAGAACAGGAAATGGGAAACATGAGAATGGAAATCGGGAAGCTGAGGGAGAAATACCATGGACAGCCCACACAAAATGGAGATGACCAATTGAAGGTATATTGTTTCTTTCCTTGTGCTTGGGAATATCCTGGGGTCTTCAATAGTTCAGTATATTTATTCCCCAAGTAAGAATGGTTCAAGTTTGACCTTTGACTTTTCCATTGTCGACTGGAGAGCAGAGCACTAAGAAGGAATAGTGGAGGAATAGCTAAGTAATCTCCTAAAAAGTGCATTTGTGTGTTTAGCAAGTGAAGGCAAGATCAAGGCAGATGTGATGCCCCTGTGGTCAAACAGTTCAAAGTGCACACAATGTAAAATTGGAAAATTAATGCCTTTTGTATGGAGGGGTAGAGTTTTTGGGTCCCATTCAATCTACTGTAGGCCTGTGTGTTCAGTTAGTTTATTCAGTGGTACGTTTGGGCCTCATCCTTCATTTGTGCCATGGGAATGTTTCCAGCAGGACAGGCAGACTCAGATTCTTGGGCTCCTGTTGTTCCTGTTGGATGTGCAGAGCCGGAGTCTCACCAAGGCGAGCATGGGTGCACTCTCCGTACAAGTTCCGAACTGGGCACTGGGGAAATATCTGCAGCTTCAAAATGTGCCACTATCAGTGGACAAAGCCCGATCCAGCACCAGGAAATCATTCATTAATTTTAATCATTCATTTTCCTAGAGCTGGGCGCATTACAACAAAGACTTACATTTCAGAAACCCATTTCATGAACTCTGAATTAAGAGCTTCTGATATCTTCATTGTTGTGATGTTAGAAAAGAAAGCAGCTAATTTGCACACAAGGGATACTTAAGGGGTTTCCCATTTAAGACAGAGCTGAAGAGAAATTACTGCTCTGATGGTAGTCAATCTGTGGAATTCTTTTCCACAGAAGGCTTTCAGGGCTGGGTCGTTAAGTGTGTTCAAGGCTGAGACAGATTTCTAATCAGTAAGGGAATCAAGAGTACTGTGGATAAGGCAGAAAAGTGGAGTTGAGGATGAGCAGATCAATCATGATCTCATTGGTTGCACAGATTTGATGGGTCAAATGGCCTACTTCTGCTCCTACAGCTTATGGTCGTATTGGCAAGATCCACAAGAATCAATGAGATTAATCAGTCGTGATTACCGTTCAAAGCATTAAATTGGCTGTGAAGTGGTTTGGATCATTGAAGAATAGAAATGTAGATTTAGTACAGTGTGGAGCTGGAGGAGCATAGCAGGCCAGACAGCATCAGAGGAGCAGGAAAGTTGACATGTAGGTTCGGGACCCTTCTTCAGAAAGAAGACTGACCCAAAACGTCAACTTTCCTGCTCCTCTGATGCTGCCTGGCCTGCTGTGTGCCTCCAGCTCCACACTGTGTTATCTCTGACTCCAGCATCGACAGTTCTTACTATCTCTGAAGAATGTAGATTTGTTGTGTTCTTTCTGGTTTCATCAAGCATGTGGAGCATACAGGAGAATGAATGGCTCTTTGCAGCAATTCAGATTTACATATAACCTCGAATCCAGAGTCAAGGCTGGGGTTTATTTGACCACATTAGTGTGTTTACATTCTGGATCCATTTATGAGGAGGACAAATGGGATTTCTTCAGTTTTCCACACTCGCTCTGAAGCAGTTGCCTTGCATGTGTCTCGTCAGCTTTGTTCAGAGAACCTACATTTAGATGAAAATAAAAAGGTAGGATTCATTTCTGGGGCTGTTATGTGAAGTATATTTCCAGAACATGAGCAAGATCTGGTTTCTGAAATGCTCCAGCATCCCTTCAGTGTGTGACTGATGGCTTTAACCACATTCACTGCCTATGGACAGGAGGCTCACTGAATAATCTGTTATTGCTCTGTTCATTACCTTCAGGTACAGCAGCTTGCTTTCTTTCCGAACATTGAGGAATGCGAAAGGGAGTATTTCATGGTAATGCTTTAGTCGTGTTGCAGTTTGCTGTGTGCACATCAAAGATTGAGCTGCTTTGCCTGTGTGCCATTATGTTTGTGTTTTAAGTTTGATCTCTTGCTTTATAATGTGTGAAATGTTTATTTCCAATAAATTAAAATTTGCACTTAATTAAAACTACTTTGAAAATAAAAAAAAAAGCCTTCAGGAAAGTCAGAACTGCAGATTACTGATATTAGCTGAGCGGGGTGACACAGTGGCTCAGTGGTTAGCACTGCTGCCCCACAGCGCCAGGGACCCAGGTTCAATTTCACCCTTGGGCGACTGTGTGGAGTTTGCACATTCTCCCTGTGTCTGCGTGGGTTTCCTCCGGGTGCTCCGGTTTACTCCCACAGTCCAAAGATGTGCAGGCTAGGTAGATTGGCCATGCCAAATTTCCCATTGTGTTCAGGGATGTGTAGATTAGGTGTGTTACAGGGGGATGGAGTCTGGATGGTCGGAGGGACTTGTTGGGCCAAAGGGCCTGTTTCCACACTGTAGAGATTCTATGTGTTGGACGGTGGAGTTCAAAACTGACCTTTGTATTTGTGGTAAGAAGATTTGACAAGTGGAAACCCTCAGAGGGGGGTGTTTGGAAATGTATACTTTCGTCCAGCATATAACTGCTTTTTTAACATGTAATTAACATTTTTAAAAGCAGTATATTTCAGTAACATGGGAGGCCATTCAGCCCTTCCAATCCCTTCAATTTAACCAAATACGAAAGACTGCTCTCTTGTACATTTTGACTCGCACCCAGAGTGTAGAGATGAATGTTGAGGCAGGAGTGATGGATGCTGGAGTCAAGCTGGATGGCCCTGGAATAGAGGGTTGAGCCCTTTTCCATCCTATCCCTCTTTGGCCCACTGTAGCTTGAACAGCACCTCCTGAACCCACAGACTCCAACAACAATCAGAAATAAGTAGCAATATCATGGTAACATCATCACCATCTAGTCTCGCATCATTTTGGCTCAGATATGTATTGTCCTCTCCTTTGCTTTTGCTAGGCCAAAATCCTGTATCAGTGGTTCAAGGAGACAGTTCACCACCACCTTTGGAAAGACTATGAAAATGAATTATTTTTAAAATATCACCCTATCAAAATGAATTCTGTGTAAAAGCAAGGATAAGGTCACTTTGGTATCTGAGACATTCTGTTCGCAGAAAGTAAGAGAGACCACTCCCCAACAGGTGTTATTGGCACTGCAGTCAGAATTAACCTTGTCAGCTCTATTTCAGTGCTCAGATAGATTGCCCTATGTTCTACTTTCTGACATTCCAGCTGTTTTAATATAGTATCTGCAGTGTATTCCTCTGTGTTCTGGCTCAAGAATCTGGTTGGTGCTGACATTGTCCTACTATTGATGTGAGATATCTCCATGCACACTTCCAGAAAGAGCACAGATGTAAGAGTGTTTGTAAGTTTCAAAGCTGTGCAATATTAATTTTGAAAACATAAATATATATAGAAATAAAATCAACCACCATCAGTAAGTACAGATTATCATAAAGTTTTAACTTTATGTAGAATGCACAATGGAGAAGCAGGCTGCTCTGCCAAAGCAAACTATCTCAATGTTTATGATCCACACCCTTACAGAGCTGGGCTACATGTGACTCCAGACCCACAGTGATCTGGTTCACTGACAGCTGCCTTCTGAAATTGCCAAGCAAGCCATTCAGTTTGAGGAAAAAGCAGCAAATGCTGGTCACCAAAGAATGTTTAAAAAAATTGTCTCCACTTGATCTCTACTTTGCCTGTGAACATTTACAATTTGTCCCATGATCTCCATACCATCTCTAACATCAAACCTTGATCATATAGAGCTGTGTCTCTCACTTTTCCCAGTACAAATGTATTTGTTGAACTGCTGAATGAGAGATTTTATTTTCACCTGTTCTGACAGCCAGGCAGGTTTTGGAGGAATAGCCATGCATTGCAACTTGAAGTTAAAATGTGATTCAGCTACTGCTGAGCTTTTTCACATTGAGGTGTTGATTCACCTGATAAACATTCTTGCTGTGTGGGTTATGCTGATAGTTTCCCTGCAACATTGTCCATTTATCCGTTGGCTTGTTGCCTAGACAACTGAAATGTTGCTGTGCCAACTCACAGATCACTGAGTCGCTACCAGATAGTATAGAACAGGAATCACAGAGTGGATAAGGGCGACAGATACCCTCTCCTGGTGAACTTTGGTAACATTGGCTTTTTATGAGCAAACCCAGAGCATTTACTGTGTGATTTAACTTTGTGCAGATTGCTTCCCCTTCTGTGTTTCAGTCCAGTGTTTGATGGCCTGTTGTAGCCTGAGGAACTGTTATATTGCATAACCTTGACATGGCTTTATTGATCTGTTTATACTAACTGATTTATGTCCTTCTTAAAGAGGACATGCCTTTCCTTAGGGTTGTGACAGCTCCATGCTGTGACATTTGCTGTCAGTAGGTGTCGCAGCATTGCTTCCTTATGATATCATGATCAACATTTGGTGCATTTCTTTCCTGTCTCTGCCTTGGAGACAAAGATCTGTCCCTTTTCAAAGAATTTGGATTGGTTTGTCCTTGTATGTTTTTTGCCAATGATGTAGTGACCTTGGGGGAGCAGATGGTCGTCAGAAAAGGATTGAGTCACGACATTCATTGGTACAACAGATTATTGAGCTAAATGTAATTTAGGATGTTGGGGGTGAGTGATACTGTCTCTGTCACCGGTGATTGTTGGGTAAAGATTGACAAGTATGTTTTTTTTAAACAGACAGAACCTGATAGTGAAGAAGATTTTCAATCGGATAAGGCGCTTTTAGATCTAAATGATCCCAACCGGCCTCGCTTCACGTTACAAGAGCTGAGGGATGTCCTTCATGAGAGGAATGAACTGAAGGCCAAGGTGTTCCTCCTTCAGGAAGAGATGGCTTATTACAAAAGGTAGAGACTTCTTTCTCCCAGCTGGGCTTTCATACTCAGATCGTCATCCTTCACTTTGTCACGAAAGGCTCATGTTAACGATCTACCTTGTTTTCACAGTGAAGAATTGGAGGAAGACAACGGGCCTTCAAACCCCCCTCCTACCCCACAATTGCAGCCAAAGCCAGCAACCCAGCCAGAATCTGGTATCAGGCGACTGTAAGTAAAGCCAGCTTCCCTCTTTGCATGATTCCGTTTAAAAGATTCACTGTCTGCTTCTGTTGCTGATTTGGTGCATGTGCCTAATTTGAATGAAGGTTGTGTAGCACAGGGACCTACAGATCAAAGTCACTGACTTTGTCCGCCAGTGATAGCAAATCACTGTTGAGAATGAATGGCTTCCCTTTATATTCACTTGTACTTACTTAGGGAGGGCTGGATCCGAAATATCCAGAAGCTGGTCCACAGCTCATAATGTCAACTTTGAATCGCATCGACCTGCCCAGCCAATACAGAGCATGATTTCACAATTTACATAGCAATAGGAGGAGACCTTTCAATCCTTAAAAGCAGTTTTGCTATTCAGTTTGACCATGTAATCTGTACTTGAACTCCATTTACACAGATTAGCTTCATATTCCTGAATACACTGAATAAAAATGTGTTGATTTTAGTCTTGAATGTTCAGAATTTACAACATTTAAGGAGATTTTGGGGTGGGGATGTGGGGTGAAGTTCCAGATTGCTATTATGTTTTTGTCTTAAGTTAGATCAGCCATAATAATGAACAAAGAACTGTGGATGCTGGAAATCTTCTCAAAATAGGAGGTGCTGGAGAAACTTAACAGGTCTGGTAGCATCTGTAGAGAAAAAGAAACCATTAACATTTCAAGTAATGTGACCCTTAGTAAGAACCAATGACCCAAATGTTGTCAGACCCTGCTGCGTTTCACCAGCACACTCTTTTTAAGAATATCAACCATGATTTTGTTAAAATTCGATGACGGGATGTGGGCATCGCTGGCAAGGGCTGCATTTGTTGCCCATCCCTAATTTCTCTTGAATTGAGTGGCTTTTTAATTCTTTCAGAGGCCAGTTAAGTGTCGACATCTTTGTGGCGTCACCTGTACTCTAGACCAGCTAAGGACAGCAGATTTCCCGCTGAGGACATCCGTGAACCAAATGGCAATCAATGAGGATTTCACGGTCACCACTGCTGAACTAGTTTATAGTTTCAGACATTCTTCCTGAGCTGTTTTGTTGAGTGTGAACCTGGGCATCCAGAGCATTAACCTGGGTCTCTGGATTACTTATCCAGTGACATTACCATTGCTCCAATGTCTGTGATTCTCACATTGAATTGTGGAACATCCTACTCTTCCTCCTCTTTTTTATGTTCTTTGTGTGAAGAAATGCTTCCCAATATCACCTCTGAATGAGCTGGCTCTCAGTTTCATTTTGTATCCTTTGTTCTGGATTCTCCCACCAGAGGAAATAGTTTCTCTATTGAATTGCTTTACCATTTTAAACATCTCAATCGGACCACCAGTCAATCTTCCAACCTCAAGGGAATCCAACCAAAATTATGCAGGCTGTCTTCTTCTTCTCCCGTGACAGACATTAAAAATGTGCTTGAATTGCTGTTCTAGGTGGAATTCCTGCCCTAAAAGTTGTTCCAGTTGTTACGAGATTTTAAAATCAAACTTACATTTTAAAAGTTCAGAATGAGACCCATTGTCCACTCAGATCCCTCAGAAAAATCTAAAAAACAAAGTGCTGGAGAAGCTCAGCAGGTCTGGCAGCATCTGTGGAGAAAGAAACAGGATGGCTCTTCTTTGGAATGAATCACTGGCTGAGCCGGCATTTATTACCCATCTGTAATTGCTTGGATGCCAGTTCAGAGTTAACCATATTGCTCCAAGTCTGTTGGCCAGACCGGATAAGGATGGCAGCTTTCCCTCCCTACAGGACATTAGTGAATCAGATGGGTTTTATAACAATTGACAGTACATACGTGGTCACTGTTTGGCTAACTTCAAATTTCACCATTATACATGATAGGATTCAAACCCCTGTGCCTAGAACATTAGATCAGGTCTCTGGATTACCAATCCAGTAATGTTAACATTACCCCACTGCCTCCCCACAGGTTAAAAACAGGATTAGGTCACGTGGCCCCTGGAGCCTGTTCCACAATTCAGTTAGATCACAGTTAATCTGATAACTCCACACTTCTGCTTTCCCGGAATAATCCCTCAGCCTCTCACCTCAGGCCTTCCCTGCATTCCCCTCTTTGTAATCAGGCAGGTACTTACTGTGACTTTTTCCAGCTTGGAGTGACTGCATGCTGTCCAATGTGGTATTGTCACCTTAAACCTTGTCCATCTCAAAGGAAACATCTGTGAGTTAACAGTTCAAAGCACAGCTTCTGCATTTCATCTGTTTATCAACTTATTGAGCAGCAATAGTTCTTCAGCTGTTCACATCTTTGTGCTCGTTATCACCCTGGACAGAACATCATTTTATTTAAGGGATATTTTCTGAGGCAGAAAATGCAGCACTCCCTCAGTACTGGCCAATTAATCAGAGATGCTGTCTTTTGTATTATATACAAAACTGATGCACTGCCTGCTTTGTCAATTCTGACAGAGAGCATAGGAGCGCTCTCCAATGTTGTTTTATTCCCCAGTCAACATCTCTGAAGAACAGCTACTTTGGCCATTATCACATTGCTGTTTGTGGGATCTTGCTGTGCACAGACTGCTGTGTTTCCTTACATGACCCTTCAAAAGCTCTTCACTGACTGTAAAGAACTTTGGAATGTCCCAAGGATGTGAAAGGTGCTACAGAAATATGCAAGTGTGTTAGTTAATTTTCCTAACTGTTCCCCCAACCAAAGAATCTCTGACATCTGGAGTTTAGTGTTCCACCATTGGCCCAGAGAATGGTTAAGACCTACCCCAGCACAATCTTTGAGTAAGCTCTCCAACCTCTGGTGGGACAGGCACCTACTGACTTCACCTTTTTGCTTTTCACAGCAGCCTGACCATCCCCCAGTTCAGATCCCACTCAAAGCAGCAGGCTACTGCCTGCTTACTACTTTTATCAGGTGAAGTAGCAGATTGCTCAGGAACACAATTTATTTCAAAGAGTAAGTTCTTGCAGCACAACAAGAAGCCATTCCTAGATCTTCGAAAGAACTATTCAATTAATGTCACTCATCCTCCATCAGTACACAGCCCTGCAAATTTCAACCTTTAAGTGTAAGTCTAGATCTCTTTTGAAAGATATTATTGAATCTGCTCTCATCACCCTTTCAGGCAGCATCTTTCAAATCATCTAAACGTGCTGTTTTGTTTGTTTACAAAAACAAATTATTCATCTTCTCTGTTTCTTTTTCCATTTATCTTCAGTCTGTATCATAGAGTCATACAGTCAAACAGCACAGAAACACATCCTTCAGTCCATCTTGTCCATGCTGACCGGGTATCCGAAACTGAACTAGTTCCGTTTGCCTGTGTTTGGCCCATATCCCTCTAAACCTTTCCTTTCCTTGTACTTATCCAAATGACTTTTAAATGTTGAAATGTACCCGCCTCTACCACTTCCTCTGGCAGCTCATTCTGTATATGCACCACCCTCTGTGTGGAAAATGTTGCCCCTTAGGTCCTTTTAAAATCTTTCCCCTCTCACCTAAATCTTTGCCTTCTAGTTTTGGACTCCCCTACCTTGGAAAAAGACCTTGGCTATTCACCTTATCGATGCCTCTCATGATTTTATGAACCCCTACAAGGTCACCCCTCAGCTGCTGACGCTTCAGAGAAAAATGTCCCAGCCTTTCCTTATAACTCACAACCTCTAGTACCCACAACATCCCTGTAAATTTTCTTAGTACCCTTTCTAGAAACAACATCCTTCCTATAACAAAGTGATCAGAATTGTACGCAGCATTCTAAAAGTGGCCTCGCCATTGTCCTGTATGACTCCAACAAGACGTCCCAACTATTGTACTCGGTGCTCTGATCAATGAAGGTAAGTGTGCCAAATGTCGCCTTCACTACCCTGTCTACCTGCAACGCCACTTTCAAGGAATTATGAAGCTGCACCCTAGGTCCGTCTGTTCAACAACACTCCCCAAGGCCCTATCATTAACTGTGAGAGTCCTGCCCTGGTTTCTTTCACCAAAAAGCAACACCTCACATTTATCTAATTAAACTCCATCTTCCACTCCTCAGCACGTTGGGTCCTCAAATCAACATCTCATTGTATGCTTAGATAACATTGTTCACTGTCCACTATAATGACCAATTTTGATCTTATCCATGAACTCACTAACCATTCCTCCTATATTGTCATCTAGATCGTTGACGTAAATGATGAACAACAGTGGACCTAGAACCGATCCTTGTGGCACGCAGCTGGTCACGAACCTCCAGACCGAATTAATCCCTCTAAGATTGTTGATGCTTGCACTAGTGGCAAATTTCTCCTTTACTTTATCACAGTCCTTTGTAATTTTGAACTCCCCTCTTCATCCTCCTTGACCTCCTCTGCTGTAAGGAGAATAATCCCAGAGTCTCCAATTACTCTTGATAACCAAAATCCCTTTCCCTTGACACCCATATGTCAAAGGATCAAGAACAAGAGGGCACAGATTGAAAGTGATGTGCAAAAGGTTCAAATGTGATTTGATAAAAATCTTTTTTCACCCAGTGACTGCTTAGAGTGTGGAATGCACTGCCTGGAAATGTGGTGGAGGCAGGTTTAATTGAGGCATTCAGGCGGGTATTGGATGGGTATTTGGAAATAACATGCAGAGATATGGGGGAAAGGCAGGAAACTGGCGCTAAGTTAAATGCTCATTTGAAGAGTCGGTACAAACATAACAGTTGAACGGCTTCCTTTTGTACCATTCTGTTTCTGTGATTCCAGTAAATCTCCTGTGCATCCTCTCCAAGACCTTGATATCCTTCCAAAAATAGTGACATCTTTCCTTTTGTTCATGTGAATATTATAATTCAACAATAAATAAATCAGAGGACCTGATGCCTTTCCGTTTTTTAATTAATATAATTTTGGAAAACTGTATTTTCTTGTTCAAAGCAGTTTTTTTCAGTCCCAGTGATGTGTGTGTAGTAAAGGTGCAGTTACAGTTGCCTGAGCTTTTCCAAGCAGGTGGTCCCTCGCTGCTTGCCCGAACATAATGACTGAGTTTGGATGCTGCATTGCACCCTGCATTGTTGAGGGATTTGCTGCATTGCTGGGTCCCCTGCAGTAAGACATGTTGTAACTGGCTATACTGCGGTGTAGGCATATAAGGTAGATATGCAATTCTGTTTCTATCTATCTCCCCAAGAAATGATTTGATCAGTTAAGCTGCATTTTTAAATTTTTCTACTGACTTTGATAGTTTTATTTTTGTCTAATTTGCTGGATCCATACTTTGTTTATATTTACCGCCAACGTTTAACTAAAACCTCACTGATGATATGAGGTCCTAGACAGTAAGTAACTCATTCTCTTCTCTGCCAGCTGACAGCGGATTTTACCATTCATCACTCTCTCTGTTGAGAGTAGCTGGTTGGAGTGGAATTATTACAACAAACAAAGGGAAGGATTTTCTGTCATTGTACTGGAACTAATTTTAAAAGCAGTAACTATTCAGTCACAATCTCTTGCTGTGCTGTACTGGAATGAGCATCTGTTTGACCTGTTTCCTGCTCTTTATTCTGTGTGTCTGTTACTCTCTGACCAGGATCTTTACTGCCATAATGCCAATGGTAGCTGCTGGATTGATTCCAGATGATCCCACATTACAGCCAATCAGAAGACTTGTTTCCCTTGTACGATCATTTATTTTATTATCTTCCCATTTTTCAGCTTCTTGCATGAAACTGACCTCCACTCATCTCATTCTGATTGGTTAATCAACTGCTTGATAATTCAGCCAATCAGAGTACCAAATGCATGTGAATGTTGATGTAATCAACCAATTTGTCTCCTGTGTATTAACCTTTGACCTGCACTTTTGTGTGTTAACCTCTGACCTGTAACTGTGTGCTGATCCTCAACCTTTATCTTTGCGTATGCTAACCTTTGACCTGCACCTTTTTCTGATGTGTGAACCTTTGACTTATGCCTTTCTCTATGTTTTGTTGCTTGCTTTTCAATGTGTTTGATTTAAAGAATTGGTAAACTTGGTTTTAAAAATAGCAGTGGATGTTGTTGTAGAAATAAGCCAGAGCTTTAAGTCTTGTTTCTATGACAACTTGTTAATTTTTCAGTCTCTTTTGGAGCTGGGTCCCATTGGATTTGACAGAAATGTGAGACAGAACTAATTTCCCTCATGCACACTCCCGCTTCACTCTCCATCACAGCCTCTGCCCAAATCTACCAGGGAAAGCTCAGCCTGCTCTTCAATGAGCAGGTCCCTTGTGTCCAGTCAAAGCAGAAAGTGCTGGAAACACTCAACAAGTCTAGCAGCATCTGTGGAGAGAGGAAAACAGAGTTAATGTGGACCCTTCAACACAACTGTTGAAAGATTATTGAGCTATAATATTGCCGTATCTGTTTCCAGCATTTTCTGATTCTATTTCCAGTTTCTAGCATTTGCTGTATGCTGTTTTCCTTGATTCGGTTTTAGTCGGTGAGTGGGAAGGGAGCTGAGATGGTGAGGGAAGAGGTTGTATTTTGCTTAATTTCCTAAGTAATCACAAAATGCAAAATGATACAGCACAGAAAGAGGCAATTTGGCCCATTGTGCCTGTGCCAGTTCTTTGAAAGAGCTTTCCAGTTATACCACGCATTGCTTTTACTTCATTGCCCTCTAAAATTTCCTTTTTGAAATGTTCTATCGATGATTTATTAATAATAATGTTCTCATCTCTCTATATTACAGAGATGCCTCATTCTACATCCCTTTAAAACTATCAGCAGGAGATCCAGCAGCTTCTCCTCGTTCTTCCCTTTCCAAAACTGAATTTCTCACTTTTTCTAAAGTTGTGAATTAATAAATATTCATCATTTCTTTTCATTCAGCCATTTTTATCATGTTTTTTACGATGTGATTAGATCATTTCAAGCTGAATAATTTCTGAGTTGAGGGAATTTGGGTCAGGTGAAGAAACATCCTTTTAATATTAGCTCATTCTGGTCTGAGGGAGACAAAAAGAGAGACCCATATTTAAAAATACTTATAATAAGCAACCTAAACCACTTGCATTTGGTCAATCATTGAAAGAGCAGCTAAAGTTCCATTATCAAAACATTAAGTAGGAGTAGGCCATTCAGCCCCTTGAATCCACTTCATTGTTCAATAACATCACGACTGATCTTCAACAGCTGAGTTTCCACAACTGTGTGGGAAAGGGAATTCCAAACCTTCACAGCCCTTTGACAGCAGACATTTCCCCTCATCCCAGTTCTTACCCTGAAATTGTGATCCTGTGTTCGGGATTACCCAGCAAGCAGAAACAATCTCTTTGTGTGAGTGACTTTTAGTTAAAATCAGTAACCATATGCAAAAACAAAAACAAAAATAAATTATCGAGGAGCATGACCCATTGGTTAGTTCTTTCAAAGAGCTGCCAGAGGCACAGTAAGCTGAATGGCCTCCATTTGTAAATGCTGTTGATTTTCAGATATACTGACTTCAAAATCTGAAAATTTAGTGTGTGCAATCTCCCACCACCACAGTTGTTCCAAAGGCAAAACAATTTACAAACACCAGATGCTTCTGATCAGAGGTTTGAGGTTGACCGGTGTACTACTTCCCTAAGTATAAAACCTCAACTTACTTTTCTGTGCATATACAAGTGAAAATAAACAGTAACTTTGACCCAGGAATCAGAATGTCTGTACCTCCTGAGTGATCTTCACCCACTACCACCACCTTATTTAAAAATGAAATATTTTACACTAATATTTTGAGCAGCAGTTGATCTTTGATTTCACCTAGTGTTTACTGAACAGCAGTTGGACTTTAGGTGTTTAAAAAGGCAAATCTTCAGCTCACCATTAGACAGGAGCAATTTGTATGATTTGGTTGTTGTAAATAGTGTATAATTAGTTAATTATTGGCCTAGATCTGAATTTTCCAAGCATTTGACTGATCTGTAACGGCCTTGAGCAATTCCAACATGGAGTTCTTGAGTTGTGGTGGAAGCCAAAGGTCACCGCTGTACTCCTGGGCCCCAATAGCACTTGAGAAACTCCCTCAGAGATTGGTCAATGGTTGTAGCTATGTAATTGCAGAGCACAGAAGGAGGCCATTTGGCCTGCCATTGTCTGTTCTGGCTCTACAAGACAGCTATCCACACGCTTCCACAGCCCCAACCCTTGCACCCACCCAACCATAGCCATGAATTTTTTTCTTTTCTCTTTTATTTATCCAGTTCCTTTTTGAAAGGTACTATGGAACCTCGTCCCACAATTGAAGAGGAAGTTACAGGGGAAAGGGTGAATTAATTGTAGAGATCTTCCAAAGAGCTGACACAAGCTCAATGGGCAGACTTGATACAATTCTATATAACATTGAAAAGAAACTGTTTTTTGAGGTTGTTGACTTGCTCACCGAGATGGCTTGTTTTTCAGACATTTCATCACCATGCTAGGTAACATCATCAGTGAGGCCTCTGATGAAGCAATGTTATTCTACTCCGGTTGGAATTTATACTGTCCGGTCCATTATGGTGAGTACTGTCATTTCTGGTCCTGTTCTGTATGGGTTTGTATATGGGGTCCAATTCTGTATGTTTGTTGATTGCATTATAGGTTGAGAACCATGCCTCTAGGAATTCCTGTGCGTGTCTATGTTTGGCTTGGGCTACTATGGTTACATTGTTCCAGTTAAACTGATGGCCTTCATTGTCTGAGTGTACTGGTATTAAGGAAAAGTTCATCGTGTTGTTTTGTCGCTAGCTGATTTTTGTGTATTCTGATGGCTAGTTTCCTTCCTGTCTGTCCGATCTAATGTTTGTGGCAGTCGTTGCATGGTATTTTGTAAACTACGTTGGTTCTGCATGTTGTGGGAATGGGGTCTTTAATCCTTGATTAAGGCAGTGTGGCCAGTGTGTCAAGAACATACCAGAAGTGACAAAGAGACTCCTACGACCACTAGGAATCATGACAGCACACAAGTCCACAGCCACTCTACGACAAACACTCACAAGGATTAAAGACCCGATTCCCACAACATGCAGAACCAACGTAGTTTACAAAATACCATGCAACGACTGCCACAAACATTACATTGGGCAGACAGGAAGGAAACTCGCCATCAGAATACACAAACATCAGCTGGCAGCAAAGCGACACGATGAACTTTCCCTAATATCAGTACACTCAGACAGCGAAGGCCATCAGTTTAACTGGGACAATGTAACCATAGTAGCCCAAGCCAAACATAGACACGAACGGCAGCTCGTAATGCAATCAACAAACATGTAGAATTGGGCCCCGTGTACAAACATATACAGAACAAAACCGGAAATGATACTACCATAACAGACTGGACGATATAAATTTCAAGGGGAGTAAAACAACATCGCTTCATCGGAGGCCTCACTGATGTTACCTAGCAGGGTGACGAACTGTCTGAACAAAAACAAGCCAGCTCAGTGAGCAATTCAACAACCTCACCCACAACCCGAGCTACAAATCTTTGCTAAAGCCTTAAACAAACTGTCTTTTTGAAAAGCTGCTGCACTATCATGGGCAGCGATATTCTAGTTACAGAATTTTTTGGGGGAGCTGGGGGTTTGGGGAATTTTGCAACCTAGTTACTGATTGATTTTTTTTTTCATTCATGGGATGTGGGTGTCACTGGCTGGCCTAACCTTTCTTGCCTGACTTTAGTTGCGCTTGAGAAGATGGTGGTGAGCTGCCTTGTTGAACCGCTGCAGTCCATATGCTGTAGGTTAACCACAATGTTATTAGGAAGGGAGTTCCAGGATTTTGACCCAACATTTAATTTTCTGGAATATGTAACTTGTTTGTAACCACAGATTATTTTTAACATGCTGCTTTCTATTGAATTATTTTACAGCTGTGTTCCAATTGAATCTGCTCGTCTTTGAGTGCCGTGAGAGTTAATGAATGATGTGAACTTTGACGTATACATTGCTGTGAAATAAATGTCATTTATTTTTGTTTCTTGCCCAGGTTTAATTTATTTTCACGAGATAAGCGAGCAGAAACTCGTCATCGATTGCAGGGATATGGAGGAGTTTGGGAGCAAGAAGGGATTGTCACAGAACAAGGACAAGAAGCATTGCAACATCTATAACAACAGCCCCTGGATACATTCTTGGGTTTAGGAATCTGGATAGCTGGCATCTTGTATCTGAATATTGAGAATAATTGGAAAGTGACTTTTCTCACCTATTTAACATTGAAGTCTGAGTGCAGGTTAACAGTAAATAGGCCAGCTAGAGCTGTATTGACTACAGTGGTGAACTGTTGTATTCCAATCACTAACCTTATTTTTGTAAAGGTAAATTTGTGATGATCTCGCAGTATCATTGTAGTAATAGTATTGGCGTTTCTCGGGAATGCAGAACTTGCAATGTTTTACACTAAACCAAAAGGTATTTTTCTGCAGATTATACAGCTGCTGTGCTCTTAACTCTCTCAAAGAAGGCAGTTCTAATGCTTGCTTTCTGCAGAATCATACAGTCTGTTTCCCAAGTATGTTTGGCCTCAAACTACCAACTGACATCTTTGGAGACCAGAGAAGGAGAATGAGAAACACATTTTCAAATTTCAGGTTAAAAGGGACAGGATTTTAATTTTAGGCTTTCTTAGTTTCTGGAAATCATGTACGTGTTGTGTGTCACTCCACTCAACACAATAAGACTACAGTGACCTGTGTCCAGAAGTAAGATGTTGTATTTGTTATCTTTTTACAAATCTCAGCACTTATGCTGCACATTTTTGTTTGCAGGTCACCTCTATACTGATGAGGTCTTTGGCTGAGGAAAGTAAATTGGAATGTGCCAAAGTTTGTTATAACTGCTCAGAGAAAAAAAAAAATCATGTTTTGATTGGTGAGAGAAACAGAGTTAACAACCTTTTAACAGCAGATTAATAACCTTTCATCAGAATCTGTTCTGACACAAAATGCATTGTTGAAATCTTGCTCATCTGGACATCAGTTAGCCATCGAGGAAAATCTAGCGAACGTGGCGATGCAACATGGTTTTACTTGGAGTTGTTAATATCAATTTACCACTAAAAGCAGTTAGATCTGACACAGCTCCCCCCACTTCAGATTACCTAAAGCTTGGCAAAAGGCACTAGAAGCAAATACTGAATTGAAGTTTGTTTTTTATTTCAGTCACAATTACATCTCTAGATTTCTCCAACTTGGAAAAATTGAATGTTTATTAAATTCCTTGTAGTATTCTATATTGTAATGACTTCTTCCTGCCAATGTAGGTGCTATAGCATCACTGGTAGGAGAGTGTCCATAAAGCATTATGTTTACATGGATAATTTTCATTTGAAATATGTGTTGAGCCCATAATTGCCATTAGTGAGGACAGTTGCATATAGATTGAAGACTTGGACCATCTGATTAACTGAAATGTAGTTTCAAGTCACATTTGTGCTTGTCTACAAATTTACAGCTGACCATGCAAATGATTAATTACGTAATTCACTGGTAAATAACTCCATGAGCAGAAATGCCTTGTGACCTTGGAATTGTCTTGAGTGGTGAAGGAGATTCTTAACATTGTCCTGACATCATTCATTTTAAAACTGCAGTTGTTGAACTCTGAGCTGTTCATGCAGGCCAACATGATTTGAACAAAACCATTGGCTATTATAAGTCGTTTGCTGGTAAGGAACTTGAGTATTGCTGAAAAAGACACATTTTGTCAAAGCTTTTCACCTCGTACACATAATAATTTGTAAGAATATCAATGCAATGGAAAACCGCCATTTATATGGGAAGAAAGGCAAGTGCTGATTGATTGACAAGTGGACTCTAATACAGGTGTTGCCATGGGAAATGTATGAATTAATGATTATTCACATTTAATTGCCAGACTTCGACAAAATGAGTTTTTTTTTAAGCAATACGTTGGTTATTGTGAGATTAGGACACTGATGCATTCACTGTGTCCTAAGCTGATGGAAGAGGTTTCTGCTCAGTTATTGTACATTTTGAGATTGTCTAGAAACAAATTTAAGGCTCCACTGAAATGTATACTTCAATGGGATAGACTGCGGATTCATTTTTGTAAATGTAGGTTTTGATTTTGTGCCTAATATAGATACAACATGACAACACTCCAACTCGCAAACACCTTTTGTTTTGCCAAAATAATTGTGAAGTATTAATTGAAGAGTAGCTGCTGATTAAAGTACAATCTAGTCTTTTCAGCTGGTAGGCGTCTACAGTGTATCTATCTACAATAAAAGTATTGCATTTGCAGGCATTTCCTTTCAATATTTTTGCCATTATAAATTTTAAGGTCCATACTGAGCATGGAAACACTGCGTAAACTTGTCAAATGGATTGTGACTCAACCCTCCCAACAGCAGCACTTCTGGTGGGAGTGTGTAATTACATTATGACACCTACAGTTTCTATCCTAAAAATATATTTAGGAATTTGTCACAAATACTAAGCACACAACGAATTATTGACTTTCAAATGAGGATCGAATTGTCTACTGATCCAATTACACCTGGCATTCCTCATGTGATGTGGGATATTGACATTAAACTTGAGTTTATATGGTGACTTTACTAAAGCACCTGAAGGTACTTTGTAAGTGTGTTATATAACAGATGTTATCATTTAGCTATCTAAAGATAGCTGACAAAGGTTCAATCTAAGAGGTTGAATTTTAAGGCATGTTTTCAAGTTGAGAAATTTAGGGAGGGAATGCCAGAGCTTGGGGTCTTAGCAGCTGGAGGCATAGCTGCCTACATTCAGGGATGCTTGAGAAACTGAAATTTGATAACTGCAGACTTGGAGGGTTGTGGGAAGTGGAAGGAAGTTCGAGATAGGGAGGCTCAAGCCTATGGAGACGTTTGAAAATAAGAATGAGAAGTTTAAAATCAAAATATTGCCCAGCTGGAGCTGATGTAGAGTTGAGTGGGACTTGCAACAAAACAAAGTATAATTCCTTTCTTATTTTGTTCATTCATCATACTTTTCAGAGGAAATTATTTTCAGAATTTCTAGCCCAAAGGTATTTCAACTGATATTAAACTTGAACTGACAGCAACTAGTCTTAATCCATTCATGTGCAAATTAGGTAACTATTTGAGAGACTAGGAGTAATTAGAGAGCTGATGAGTGGAGCATGTTTGTAGGAAATGTGATTTTGGAAGTCTGGTTCCCAATGTTGTCCCCCACTTGGGTTCTGTTGCCCTGTACCTGTGTCTGTGGTGGACTCGTTAATCGAGATTGATCACCTGTTGTTCAATAACTTGATTATCATTATGTCATGTGGTTATCAGGATGGTAGAAGGCAGAGCCGGTGAAGATTGCTGTGTTGTTGCCTGCTTCATGTTAATTTTAAATCTGAGATAGGTTTTTTGAACTAAATCTATGAACAGGTAAAAGTTACAAAAGGGCAGAAGTTACTTTCATGACATTTTCCCCTGTGGTTCAGAGTTAACATTTGTTTGATGTATGGAATGCAGGAGGCAGCACTAGCTAGTGCAAGGCTACCACCTACTGCACAAAGACTGGCATTGTAGTCAGCTCAGGTGGGTAGTTAGCTGTCAGGTGTTTCTTTAGGCAGATAGATCATAAAATCCCTACAGTGTGGAAACAGGCCATTCGGCCCAACAGGTCAACGCTGCCCCTCCGAACACCCAGACCTATTCCCCTAGCTCTGCACTTCCCATGTCTAACACACCTAACCTAAACATCCCTGGGAACTATGGGCAATTTAGCATAGCCAATCCACCTAGCCTGCACATCTTTGGACTGTGGGAGGAAACTGGAGCATCTGGAGGAAACCTACACAGGCACGGGGAGAATGTGCAAACTCCACACAGACAGTTGCCCAAGGCTGGAATTGAACCCAGGTCCCTGGTGCTGTGAGGCAGCAGTGCTAACTGCTGAGCCATAGACGTGAGAGTAAGATACAGAACTTGTGTTAGGTCTACAGGGGTAGGGGGGGGGGAGAACAGGGGCAAGATCTCAGATAAATAATTTCAATTCACTTTTGTGAGGATATTTGACTGTCTGTTAGCCGACAAGAAATTTCACAAATAGCAGACTGGATGAATGCCTAGGTCAGATCACACATAGTGGAAATGGCCGAGAGATTAATGTTAGCCAAAGTACTAGAAGAATATTTAATAGCATGTCCAGCATTCAGTTGTCATCCATCTGCACTGAAATGGGAGATCATAGATTTATAATTATAAGTTGATCATAGACTGGAGAACGGTAACAATCAACAACAGTTTGGATTTTTACAGTACCTTTGGAATAAAATACCTTAAAATACACTTGACTGGAGCATTATAAATCAAAATTTGACACAGCCATGTAAGGAGATAATAGTCCAGCTGAGGTTGATTGTTAAATAACATTCAAAAGAGGAGAGGGTATTATACAGGTGGAAAAATTATATAAGAGTGAATTCCAGGCCCGGACAGGTTGAAGGCATATAGCCAGTCTTGAAAGCTGTTCTATAATAGTCAATGTTCTTCATTGGAGCATAGTCATGTATCAGCCCAATTGGTGGAGAATTTAACTTTAAAAGGTAAAATTAAAATGTCAATCACTCTGCCATGTAGAGTATACTTAGCTGCCAACATATCCCTGCTCGCCACCCCATATTGCCCCTCACCTGAGGCATTGTGATCCTCAGATGAAGCTCACCAGAAGTTATCTCTCTTTCCCCCCAATGAGAGAGCAGCTGATGGTCATCTGGGACTATAATGAATTTCACATTCATTTTGCACATCAGAAGGATAGTCTACGTAGGTCCTATTTCAGTCAGTCATTGCTGAGGAAATTTTGTACATTACCAGGTGGCCACAGTGGATTCAGTAGTAACTTTCAAAACAAAATAGATCAATCTAGCAAAAGACCAGAGGAGTAGGACTAATGAGACAATTACAAGGCTCAATGGTCTTGTTTCTCTGCTGTATGATTCCTGTGAAGCAGACTAAACGCTTGCGCTTCCCATGAGCTGTCAAAGGAACTAGTCATATTCTGCTATTTTGAACCACTTGGTTATGTGGCCTAGCCCAACCTAAGTAGGTCAAATATTTTTTCTTCCCAAAGAGACAGTTTCCCAGACTCCTATTCAAGTGATGAAAGTTGCATGACTGGGTGAATAAATCTGTTTAGTGGCTGCAATCTCTGACCACATGGCTTAAATTTGCTAATAATTATTAGCTAGTTTAAAATCCGCCAAGGTTTCTTCAACAGCACCAAAATCACCTAAAAAGGACAAGAGAAACAGGTTTGCTGGGTCAAAGTCCTGGAAACACAGACCCAAAACCCCTGTGAGACTACCATGCACGCAAAATTGCAGCAATTCAAAATTGTCCAACACAACCTTCTCAGAAAATTAGCAACGGGCAATACACAATAGTCTTGCCAGTGTTGCCTGCATGAATACAATTTTTTTTTAAAAAGTCACTTGTTTCATTCTTGGTAAACATTTGGTCGTATGTTGAACAGCCAATTCTAGGGTGGAAGAACAGAATGCTGGATGTTTAAATCTTGAAAGAATAAAGCACAGAGGAAGGTTTTATAGTGTATGCAGTGATCATTTGGGGTGAGGTATGGCAGTTAGCTCAGTTGATTAGATGAGCAATGAGGCATTCAAAATAACACCAACAGTACATGATTCAACTTCTGTTCTGGCTGATATAGGTTTGACACTGAAACAAAAACAGAAATTGCTGTGTGACAGCATCTGTAGAAAGAGTCAACATGTCAAATCCAGAAGTCACTGATCTCGAAAGCACTTTGTTTTTGTTTTCAGATTTTCAACATCTGTAGTTTTGTTTTATTTTAGACTTGGTCCTGCTTCCTCATGCTATCTCACAGTAAATCCACAATGTAAGCTGTGATTTGTTGACCCTCAAGCACGTTTCACAAAGCAGTAGTGATCAGGGCTGATGTGTGAGTGATATTTTTATGTTCTTAAACATCAGGCACAGGAACGTAGGAGACAGGGTGATGGTAGTAGGTTGTTTCTCAGATTGGAAGCCTTGTGATCAGCAGTGTGCTGTAAGGGTAGGTGTTGGGTTCACTGCTTTTCGTCATTTACATAAATGATTTGGATGTGGATATATGTGGTTAATAAGTTTGCAGATGACACCAAAATTGGAGGTGTAGCAAACTATGAAGAAGGTTATCTCAGAGTACAACAGGGCCTTGATCAGATGGGCCAATGGACCAAGGAGTGGCAGATGGAGTTTAATTTAGGTAACTTAGGTAAATGTGAGGTGTTGCATTTTGGTAAGGCAATTAGGACAGGGTTTCTACAGTTAATGGTAGGACCCTGGGGAGTGTTACCGAACAAAGAGATCTAGGGGTGTAGTACATAATTCCTTGCAAGTGAAATTGCAGGTAGACTGGGTGATGAAGGTGGTGTTTGGCACACTTGACTTCATTGTTCAGTGCATTGAGTATAGGAGTTGGGACATCGTGTTGCGGCTGTACGGTTCTAAATTGGGACAAAGCGAATTTTGATGGAATTAGACAGGAGCTTGCAGGGGGTTGACTGGAGTAGTTTGTTTGCAGGCAAAGGAACCTCTGGCAAGTGGGAGGCCTTTGAAAGTGTGACAGCTAGAATTCAAGATTTATATATTCCCGTGAAGGTGAAGGGCAAGATTGGCAGGAGTAGGGAACCCTGGATGACAAGAGCTATTGAGGCTTTGACCAGAAAAAAGGAGGCATGGCTCAGGTACAGACAGCTGAGATCAAGGGAATCCCTAGAGGTATATAGGGGATACAGGAGTTTATTGAAGAAGGAAATCAGAAGGGCAAAAAGTGGGCATGAGATAGCTTTGGCTGAGAAGATTTGGGTGAATCTAAAGAGATTCTTTAAGTATATTAAAGCAAAAAGAATAACTCGAGAGAGAATAGGACCCCTCAAGGACCAAAGTGACATGTATGTGTGGAACTACAGGGGATGGGCGAGGTCCTAAATGAATATTTTTCCTCTATGTTTACTGTGGAGAAAGACATGAAGACTTGGGAACTTGGGGAAGTTAGTGGCGATAGCTTCAGGATAGTTAATATCACAGTAGAGGAGGTGTTGCAAGTATTAGAATGTGTGAAGGTGAATAAATCTCCTGGTCCTGACCAAATATATCCAAGAACCCTGCAAGGGGATAGAGAAGAAATTGTAGGGGCCCTGGCTGATATATTTGCATCTTTGTTAGCCATGGGTGAGGTCCTAGAAGACTGGAGGGTGGCGAATATTGTGCCCTTATTCAAAAAGAG